CGCGCGGGTGAGCAGTGTGGGGGTGCCCACCTCACCCATCGCTGCTTTGGCCGCCTGACGGACGCTTGGCGTCAGCAGTTCCCAGAGGCCAGTGAGATCCCCCGCTGGGGAGAGCTGTCTAGGGCAGGCGTAGCTATCTATGATCTTGACTTTGATGCTATCCTTGCTGCCATGTATGCTGTGACTATTAGTGATAAGGGTGACTGTTACCGGTGTTTCCCGCCCGACCCGGGCATTGTTACTGCTGCTCTAGGTGCTGGTGAGGCTGCTGCTCTAGGTGCCAGTGCATCTGCGCCCTCAGGTACTGGTGAGTCTGCGCTCTCAGGTACTACGTCGCCTTCAGCCTCCCTCACCTTCACCCTTGACTCTGGGGCGTCTCGCTCCTTCTTTCGGGACCGCACCACACTCACGCCGCTTAGTCGGCCGGTTGCGGTGTCTCTGGCTGACCCCTCTGGGGGTCCTGTCCTGTCTCGCTTCTCCACAGTCCTCCCGTGTCCGGCGGCTCCCTCTGGCACCCTGTCTGGTCTCTACCTCCCCTCGTTCTCGACGAACCTGGTGAGTGGTGCTGACCTACAGGATGCGGGTGTCCACCAGTTCACTCCTGCGCGTCAGCGGGTGACACACTGCACAGAGGTTAGCACAGGCCGACACCTGGCTACGTTCACCCGTCAGCCGGGGTCGAGCCTGTACACTCTGACCACTACGTCTCCTCCAGTTAGTCAGTTTGGTAAGGTAGCTGTGTTGGGTCAGGTGTTTGCTGCAGCGTCCAGGTCTGGTCCTCAGTCTGCCCCCTGTTCGTGTCGTCTCCTGTCTCACGAGACCCTCCTCTGGCACCACCGCCTTGGTCACCCCTCTCTGCTTCCGCTCAGAGGCATGGCCTCCCGTCTTCTTGTGTCTGGTCTGCCCCAGTCCCTCCCTCCCCTTCCTCAGGGCCCTGGCCCTGCCTGTGTCCCCTGTGTCGAGGGGCGCCAGCGTGCTGCCCCTCACTCCTCCCAGTTTCCTCCGACGGAGGCCCCGTTGCAGACGCTTCACATGGACGTGTGGGGCCCAGCCCGCGTTCGTGGACAGGGTCACGAGCGCTACTTCCTGCTCGTTGTTGAGGACTACTCGCGTTACACCATAGTCTTCTTTTGTGCAGCAAGGGTGATGTCACTGAGGTGCTGATCGACTGGATTCGCGCAGCTCGTCTCCAGCTCAGGCAGAGCTTTGGCTCGGACTTTCCTGTTCTGCGTCTGCACTCGGACAGAGGCGGAGAGTTCTCCTCTGGCCTTCTGCGAGCCTACTGTCGTGCACGAGGCATCCGTCAGACCTTCACGCTTCCGGACTCTCCGCAGCAAAATGGGATTGCTGAGCGCCGCATTGGCATGGTCATGGACGTCGCTCGTACGTCTATGATGCATGTAGGTGCCCCCCATTTTCTGTGGCCGTTTGCGGTCAGGTACGCGGCGCATCAGATCAACCTTCACCCCAGGGTCTCCAGGCCGGAGACCTCCCCAGCCCTGCTGTGGACGGGGAAGGTTGGCGATGCGTCGGCGTTCCGGGTCTGGGAATCTTGGGCGGTTGTCCGCGACTTGTCTGCGGACAAGCTGTCCCCTCGCGCTGCTCCTTGCGTCTTCCTGGGGTTCCCCCCCGACGCGCCTGGGTGGCAGTTCTACCACCCCACCTCTCGCCGTGTTCTGTCCTCCCAGGACGTCACGTTCGACGAGCTGGTCCCCTACTACCGCTTCTTCCCCTACCGCACTCTGTCCCTCCCCCCGCCCCCGCTCTTCCTTGTACCAGGTCCCCCCCCGGTAGACCCCCTCCCCCCTCAGGGTCCTGCCCCTTCAGGTCTGTCCCACGTAGACGCAGTCGAGCGTGTCGAGGTCACTGGTGACTCTGGTGCTGCTGAGGGTGCTGAGCCTAGGGGTGCTGAGAATGGGGGTGCTGAGCCTGGGGGTGCTACGCCTGGGGGTGCTGAGCCTGGGGGTACTGAGCCTGGGGGTGCTGGGCCTGGGGGTGTTGGGCCTAGAGGTGCTTTGCCTGGGGGTTCTGGGCCTAGGGGTGCTCAGCTTGGAGGTGCTCAGCCTGGAGGTTCTCCGGGTGCTTCGTCTCGCCGGGAGCCACTCTCTCCACAGGAGCTGCGCGAGTGGTTTGCCCGGCGCTGGAGCCGTGCTGCTGGTGCTAGAGGTTCTTCGGCTACTGAGGGTGCTGCTGTCGCGGGTCCCGGAGGTGCTCGTACTGGGAGTACTGGAGCTGCTCGGCCTGCAGGTTTTACTGGAGCTGGCGCTGCTGAGGGTGTTGGCGCTGAGACTACCACTGGCGGTCCTGTTGGGGGTGCTCCTGGTGCTACTGGAGGTTCTGGAGTTGCTGGAGGTGCTGCTGGAGCGAGTGCTCCTGCTGGGGGTACTGGTGCTGTCCGTGCTGTTTCTGGCGTCGCCATGCGGCCTCGACCGTACTTCGTTCCACTCCTGCAGCAGGTTCTTGGTCTTCTACCTTCTACTGGTCCTCCTCCTCCCTTAGAGGGTCCACAGCCTGTCCCGTCACAGTCACAGCTACAGCCTGCCTCCCCTTTGCCTGCTCCTTCTCCCTACGCTGGTCCTACTCGAGGTCTTACTGAGCGTTGTGAGCCTGAGTCTCGTCCTGCGTCGCCTGTTCGTGCTGCTCGCGCTAGTGTTCGCGGTTCGCGTCAGCGTCCTCCTCCTGTCCCTGGCACGCACCGGATGTCTCTGCGTCCGTCTACTGCTCCTCTGCGTGCCCCTTTGCCTTCTCATCCTGAGTCCTCTCTTCATGCACTTGCCGACCCGGAGTCGGACTCTCTTCGTGCTGCAAGTCCTACTGTCACGCGTCTGCTTGCTACTGTCGTCACTGACCCTTCTTTTGAGTCTACTGCTGCGTCTGCCCTTGTTACTGAGCTCGTCGACTTTGCTGCTCGCTGTCGCCTAGACTACGCTGCTAGTCTTGTCGCTGAATCTGCGTGTGTCTGTCCTCCATCCGTCGGGGGTGAGTGTGCCCTTGGCACGGACGTCCTTGAGGACAGGCAAGAGGAGTTCCAGTGTCTGGCAGCTGCTTCACCTCATCTCGTGTCCGTACTACTTACCCTTGAGGGAGACCCGGATGCACTTGACATCCCGACTCCGCGCTCTTACGCGGAGGCGATAGAGGGTCCCTACTCCTCTCAGTGGGAGGCAGCTAAGGATGCAGAGATGGCTTCCTGGAAGTCCACAGGCACCTACGTTGACGCTGTCCCCCCTCCTGGGGCGAACATCGTCAGTGGCATGTGGATCTTCAGGGTGAAGCGACCGCCGGGTTCTCCGCCTGTCTTCAAGGCGCGTTACGTGGCTCGTGGCTTCAGTCAGCGGCAGGGAGTTGACTACTTTCAGACCTTCTCCCCTACCCCGAAGATGACCACTCTTCGGGTACTGCTGCACGTTGCTGCTCACCGTGACTACGAGCTACACTCTCTTGACTTCAGCACTGCTTTCCTGCAGGGCAGCCTGCACGAGGAGATCTGGCTGCGCCGCCCACCTGGCTTCACTGGGTCTTTCCCTCCTGGTACCCACTGGAGTCTCCGGCGTCCAGTCGACGGTCTCCGCCAGGCGCCACGTGAGTGGCACGACACACTGAGGACTACACTCGCGGCTCTAGGGTTTGCTCCTTCTACTGCCGACCCGTCGCTGTTTCTGCGCACCGACACCTCTCTGCCACCGTTCTATATCCTCGTGTACGTCGACAACTTGGTCTTTGCCACAGGGGACACTGCTGGACTCGCCTACGTGAAGTCCGAGCTGTAGAAGAGACACACGTGCACAGACCTGGGTGAACTGCGCAGCTACCTTGGCTTGCAGATCACCCGGGACAGAGCACGCCGCACCATTACCCTGACTCAGTCACACATGGTGCAGCAGGTCCTTCAGCGCTTCGGCTTCACGTACTCCTCGCCTCAGGCCACTCCTCTGTCTACTCGCCACTCATTCTTAGCTCTGCCTTCGGATGAGTCCGTAGAGTCGAGTGGCCCGTATCCAGAGCTTGTTGGCTGCCTCATGTACCTGATGACCTGCACACGACCTGACCTTGCATACCCTCTTAGCATTCTTGCACGCTATGTTGCTCCTGGGAGACACCGACCAGAGCACATGGCTGCAGCGAAGAGGGTGTTGCGCTACTTGTGCAGTACGTCGGGCATGGGGCTAGTGCTTGGAGGGCGCAGTCCAGTGGTCCTCACTGGGCACGCGGACGCTTCTTGGGCTGACGACCAGGCTACGCAGCGGTCGTCACAGGGTTACACCTTCAGCCTCAGTTCCGGCTCTGTTTCGTGGCGGGGCTACTCGCTCGTCTTCTGTTCTCGGCTCCAGTTGTGAGGCTGAGATCTACGCCGGGGCCATGGCTGCCCAGGAGCTTTGCTGGCTCACCTACCTGCTAACCGACCTTGGAGAGCCGCCTCGTTCTCCTCCAGTCCTGTACGTAGACAACAAGGCCATGCTGGCCTTGTGTCGAGAGCAGAGACTGGAGCACAGAACAAAGCACATTGCTCTTCGCTACTTCCTTGCTCGTAAGCTACAGCAGCGTGGTCAGTTGCGGCTTGCATACGTGGCCTCTGAGGCCAACACTGCTGATGTTTTCACCAAGGCACTTGCGCCTTGTGATCATCAGCGCTTCTGCACTCAGCTGGGTCTTGTCCCTGTCTTGCCTCACTTGCTCACCCCTTGACCTTACTTGTACTGTTACATATATATATACCTGCTCTTGCTTGTCTAACCTTATATATATATACATATATGTGTACTCCTGCATGTGAACTGGCCTTCTGGCCTTGAACTTGTGCTCGGAATGTGTGGTGACTTTGTGATCCACCCTGAGCTTTGCTTTGCTTTGCTTGACTTGTCTTGTGACCCCTTGTTCTCCCCCACTCTGCCTATGGGGGTGTGTCAAATTATAATCTTGTGTAGGCTATAGTGGGGTAGCTCATATGGGGTACACATTTCTAGGGTTGAATATTTGTATCACTTTCATTCCATAGTCATTCAGTCTCGTTCTACTTTCCTCAGCCTGTGCTGCCCGTTGCCGCCCGTTGCTGCCCGTGCCTGTGCTGCCCATTGCCGCCCGTTGCTGCCCGTGCCTGTGCTGCCTGTTGCCGCCCATTGCTGCCCGTGCCTGTGCTGCCTGTTGCTGCCCGTGCCTGTGCTGCCTGTTGCCGCCCGTTGCTGCCTGTGCCTGTGCTGCCCGTTGCTGCCTGTTGCTGCCCGTGCCTGTGCTACCCGTTGCTGCCTGTTGCTGCCTGTGCCTGTGCTGCCCGTTGCCGCCCGTTGCTGCCCGTGCTTGTGCTGCCCGTTGCAGCCTGTTGCTGCCCGAGCCTGTGCTGCCCGTTGCCGCCCGTTGCTGCCCGTGCCTGTGCTGCCTGTTGCTGCCCGTGCCTGTGCTGCCTGTTGCCGCCCGTTGCTGCCTGTGCCTGTGCTGCGCGTTGCTGCCTGTTGCTGCCCGTGCCTGTGCTGCCCGTTGCCGCCTGTTGCTGCCCGTGCTTGTGCTGCGTGTTGCCGCCCGTTGCTGCCCGAGCCTGTGCTACCTGTTGCTGCCTGTGCCTGTGCTGCCCGTTGCCGCCCGTTGCTGCCCGTGCCAGTGCTGCCCGTTGCCGCCTGTTGCTGCCCGAGCCTGTGCTGCCCGTTGCCGCCCGTTGCTGCCCGTGCCTGTGCTGCCTGTTGCTGCCCGTGCCTGTGCTGCCTGTTGCCGCCCGTTGCTGCCTGTGCCTGTGCTGCCCGTTGCTGCCTGTTGCTTCCCGTGCCTGTGCTGCCCGTTGCCGCCTGTTGCTGCCCGTGCCTGTGCTGCATGTTGCGGCCCGTTGCTGCCCGAGCTTGTGCTGCCTGTTGTTGCCTGTTGCTGCCTGTTGCTGCCCGTGCCTGTGCCGCCCGTTGCCGCCCGTTGCTGCCCGTGCCTGTGCTGCCTGTGCCGCTCTGCTGCTGTCCGCGCCCTTGTGCGCTCTGGTCTGCCTGCGCCCTCGTGCGCTCTGCTGCTGCCCGCGCCCTCGTGCGCCCTGATGCTACCCGCGCCCTCGTGCGCTCTGTTCTGCCCTGCCCCCCCCCCCCCCCCCCCCCCCCCCCTTCTTCGTCTCCTTGCTGCGCGTGCAGCCGTGGAACGGAGGCTATGGGGGTGGCGGGTATGGGGGTGATGGGCGTGTGTGATCCCCTTCCCCTCCTCCTCCGTTCTCTCCCACTGCTGCAGCTGCCGCTGGGGGGGCGGTGGGTGTGAGGGTGTGAGGGAGCCGGGGGAGAGGTGCTAGGGTTGTCGAGGAGTGTGGAAAGGGGAGTTGGAGGACTAAGGAAGGTTCCAGGAAGCAGCCGCCTTGGAGCCAGCAGCTTCACCTGCTAGCAGTTTCTCCTCATATAGTCCCTCCTCCTCACTTGCCCTCTCCGTCTGCTGCGCTTGGTGTACCCCTTCAGGGGGTGTCTCTGCATTAGCTTCTGCTGCAGGCAGTTATGGAGGAGTGTCAGAATATATCTGTAAGTGCCTGTAGCTGTAGTTCGTGTAGTTATTATAAACTTTGTTTGGTGGTGCACCTTCTTTGTTTCTTTGCTATATGTTGTTGCAAACCTATAGTGAAGCCCTCTTTCTCCTTTCCAACTTTCTCGACTTTCATCAACCCTAAACCTAAGCTACTAAGAACCTAACTAGCAATGGCTCCTAAGCTTAAGTCAAGCTAGATTCTCAACAATTTTTTGGGTTGCGAAGCAACCTATTACAATCGTTATATACATTTTTTTTTCAATCCTCAATACTTTCAAAAATAAAGGATGGAAAAAATATAGTGAACGGTACTAGCTAAGTGACTGACTGCTATGTATCTGCCCCGTCAATTTACCACGTGCTGAACCACATTCTTTCTCATTTCCTAGTCTACTTTGACTGCACCTATATTTCATGAGTTGCCAAAATGATGTACTGTGAACGCGTAAGTGTTTATTCCGTGATGCATATGTCTGATGTTGTTATAAGTAGATGAAGTAAATGCAAATGCATATACTACCAGTAATGAAATAAATGCACAGCATGATGGAAGTGCGTAACATTTAATTGACGCAGACCCTATGCTACCGCATCCCCTGCCTAGCATGGGTGGGAGCTCAATAGCATAATTTCTGGATCATCCAACTGTTACATGAAACAACACAATCTGTGTGATCTAAAAAACGGGTCAATTCCATCAAACCCAGTTCGAACGGACACACTCACTGAGTGCGCAAAGAACCTTCTCGGAAATGATAGTTTGATCCCAATTTTTAAACCCCACAGACATGTGTTATTAATGCAATGGAAACATGAATGAAAACGCATACGCACACAACACAACGCATACACATGATCATACACATTCACACATACACGCACGCACGAAGCCAACTGACAAAGCATATTAACCGCATATGAAATAGAAACCTAAATCACCAAGACATTATGTATCCTATACTGTAAGTCAGAAGCAATATCAGGTTACTTCTCATATTGAGCTCGACTGCCTGGAAAGTAAGATAAAGCTGGGTTGAGGAAGGGAAGGCAAATGGGAAATAACAAGGCATAATGAAATTACGAGAAAAAGGAATAATGAAGAAACAAATGAAACAATACAAGGGCCAAGAAAAACGCCATGAGCATTGAAGGGTTAGAGCTGACAAATAACAAGGAGAAAATGTACTAAAACATATAACGAGACAATAACGAACGAAGAGAATATAACAAATACATTGAGCGAGAACAACGGAGATCGAGAGCGAGAGAGAGAGAGAGAGAGAGAGAGAGAGAGAGAGAGAGAGAGAGAGAGAGAGAGAGAGAGAGAGAGAGAGAGAGAGAGAGAGAGAGAGAGAGAGGACGACAGAGAGAGGACGAGAGAGCGAGAACGAGAGAGTGGACGAACGAAAGAGAAAGAACGAGAGATTTGACAAAAGAGAACGAGAGAATGACAGAGACGGAACGAGAGAGATAGATAACGAGAGAGAGAACGATAGAGAGGGAACGAGAGAGAGGGAGAACGAAAGAGAGAGAGAGAGAGAGAGAGAGAGAGAGAGAGAGAGAGAGAGAGAGAGAGAGAGAGAGAGAGAGAGAGAGAGAGAGAGAGAGAGATGTCAGAATGTTATCTTATGCTCTAGCCTGTAGTGGGGTGCTCTATAGCGAGTACAACCCTTCTAGGGTTTCCTATTTGTATCCCCATTCTTGCTAGTGCAGTCCTCTTCTCTTTTCTAAACTTTCACATGCTATCAGAGCAGGTCGATCCCCTTGGATCGATCCTGTGGGTGGACTTACCACCTCGTTGCTTCCACTGCAACTCCTACTGCTAATACTATCACTACTCTCTGTGCCGCACGCCCCGTGGCGTGCGGCAGTTTTTCCTTCGCGTCACGCCGTCACGCCGCGCGCCGCTCCTGGGAGGCGCTGCGACGGGCGACGGGGACCTCCGCGTCGCCCCCCGTTGCCCGTCGTGGCCTGCGCGCGGCACGTATGGGCCGCGCCCGACCCGTCCGCGGCCCGTACGGGCTGCGCCAGGCCCGCGCACCACCCGTACGGGCTGCGCCAGGCCCGCGCGCGACCCGTACGGGTGGTGCCAGGCCCGCGCGCGGCTCGGGCCGCCTGCGCGCGGCTCGGGCGACCCTACCTGCGGCCCTGGCCCTGGCCCCGCTGCCCTACCTGCGGCCCCGTCGTCCCGCCGCCCTACAGGCCCGACCCCGTCGCCCTACCTACGGCACGTGCACCCCCCCCCCCCCTCCCCCCCCCTTTTCCCGTCGCCTGTCGAGGCGACCTGAGGGGGCCGCTGGCGACCTGGGGGGTGGCGGGTGTGTAGTCTCCCCTGCTCCTCCTCCTCCTCTGTCTCCCACTGCTGCAGGGGGTGGGGTGGGAGTGGAGCTAGGGGTGTAGCAGCGGGTGTGTGTCAGGGGGAGTGGGATAGTTTGGGGAAGCTGAATGGAGGTTGCCGTCGTGTCGCCAGCAGCACCTGTATTTCGGGGACTTCGTCCCGTAGCCCAGTCGTAGCCAGCTGTGCCAGCCGCCCGTGGGTCCGTTGCTCGTCTGCCGCTACTTTAGCCGCGGGGCCAGTTACTCCAGTATTCCGGAGCATTGTTCCGGTAGCCGCTGTGCCAGTGTGCCTCCTGTTGCCCGTGTGTCTGCAGCTTCATCCGTCACCTCCTATCTCCTCTCCTCTCACTCTCTCTCCTCCTCCTCACTTGCCCGTTGTGACTACCACTAGCTTTGCTCATAATTGTGAACTTTAACTATTGCTTCTTGAACTTGTGCTCAGAATGTGTGGTGACATTGTGATCCACCCTGAGCTTGTACTGCTTTGCTTGCTCTGCTGATTACACCCCACTTTGGCTATGGGGGTGTGTCAGAATGTTATCTTATGCTCTAGCCTGTAGTGGGGTGCTCTATAGCGAGTACAACCCTTCTAAGGTTTCCTATTTGTATCCCCATTCTTGCTAGTGCAGTCCTCTTCTCTTTTCTAAACTTTCACAAGAGAGAACGAGAGAGAGAGAGAGAGAGAGAGAGAGAGAGAGAGAGAGAGAGAGAGAGAGAGAGAGAGAGAGAGAGAGAGAGAGAGAGTGAGAGAACGAGAGAGAAAGAAAACGAGAGAGAACGAGAAAGAGAACGAGAGAGAGAGAACGGGAGAGAGAGAACGGGAGAGAGAGAACGGGAGAGAGCGAACGGGAGAGAGAGAACGAGCGAGAGAGAACGGGAGAGAGAATGGGAGAGAGAGAACGAGAGAGAGAGAACGGGAGAGAGAGAACGGGAGAGAGAGAACGGGAGAGAGAGAACGGGAGAGAGAGAACGAGCTAGAGAGAACGAAATGGACTGAACGTGCAACCTATCACAATCTTTATGTACAACCTAAGACGAGGTTGAGAAAAAAATGAACTAAAACATGCAAATATGAAGAAAAGGCAACCGACGAGAGGAAAAGCTTAAGAATGAAGAATAGAAGAAACAGATGCAAGCTTATGCAGGAAGGAGAACCTGAAATCTTTACAAAGGGCCGAGAACCTAAGATTAAACAACTAAGTCTCGCTAATACTCATCCATTTACACGGTTAGGATACGGAATGACTAAATGTTAGTCTATCTAATATACATCTAATTTAGTTGGAGTTAAAGTTGAGGGATCTTCTTACCTAAGTTGCAGTTAGAGTAGGTGGAGAAGTTGGTAGAGCGTGACGAGCGAGAAGGAGAAAAAAAGGGCGAACAAACCCTAAGGTAGTCTCAGATTCGTCGCAATTTTACATGTCTAAATAATTCAGCTATTCGAAATGAATATTTGTGCTGTAGCAGTGGTACAAGGTTGACAGTGGAATCGTAAGGTCTCCAGATCGATATCGACTCACTTGGTACCTTTGATCTTTTCCTGGTGAGAGGAAGTACCACTTAGTGTCATACTACAGCATAATGAACAGAATTAGAAGTTGTACAAATTTATATAATTACGCAAAACGCTTTGCAACCCCAAGACGAATTCGTCGCCTCTTGTTTATCTTGTGACAGAAGTGGAGGTGATTTTCGAATTAAATTGCCTGCCGAGTCACATTGTGAAAGTTTAGTGGAAAGAAGAGAGAAGATGGTTGAACTAGCAAGAATGGGGATACAAATAGCAAACCCTAGAAGGGTTGTACTCGCTATAGAGCACCCCACTACAGGCTAGAGCATAATATTCTGACACACATTACTCTAGAGTCGATCACTATCACAATCCCTCCGCTCCGCACCCGCCACCCCGCACTACCCGTTCGTGCAGGCGAGCATTTGGTGTTGCCGAGCTTGCACTTCCACGGAGTAGCCTATCAGCTGCCATCTTGCGCATTCACTCGCATTCACATTTGAACTTGGTTGACTACGTTCTGTGCAGTTATTCCTGTTGCGTCACGGTGCGAAACGGTGAAGCCTGATAACCGCTGTGCACCATCTTGCGCCACGACCAGGGCCTCAGATTGGTTTTTGTCAACACTTTCTGGTCAGTGTTAGTACAAAAAAAAAACTTTCTGTCAGGGTCGCCATGTGAAAACACCCTGAAAAATCAGGGTGCTCTCTGGGAAAAAACTTTCTTATCAGAGTCGACAACAATTGCCACGCTGATTGATTTATTATAGTTCAGCAAGCGAATACCACTAAGTAACAATCGCATACAACCACTACTAGTACTAATACCACATCGCATCCTCATCATCACCACCGTCAGTTGCACGTGCTGCATCCTCCTCTTCATCTAGATCTACAGGGTTGGCCTGGTCTCCTGCCTCCGCCTCCTCCTTCCCCCGACGCCTCCTATTTGCCTCTTGCCTGGAGAATTTGCAAGTGTTGAGCGGCTTCCGCTTCTTGTAGTTACGCCAGATCTCGACTATTTTGTCCCAGTTGGGCTTGTAACGGAGCAGGGACATGCACATCAAGTCACTAAGCCGAGCATCTTTGAGGCTGCCTTGCTGCCAGGACTTAATGACGTTCTGCCGCAAGGAGCCGCGCTCGCATTCGACTGTGTTCAACGGTAGGACCGACACCGCCACCCACAGCCGCACCAGGTTCGGGTAGTGCTGCTGCCAGTCGTCGGTCTTGAGCATGGCGGTAAGACCAGTGTGGAATCCTCGCTCACCCTTCGGTGCACATGAAAGGACGGGGATTAGCAGTCGCACTTCCTTGACTGCTTTCTTCTTGTCGACACCTGCAGTTAGAAAACCAAGCATGGATATGGAAACATAGTGGTTGATAAGAAATCCGACATGACACTAGGATGGAGAGGCACAGCATGCACACATAAGGCATCGGGCTCACCAGGTATGATCTCCTCGCACTCTTCTGCCATGAAGAGAGTGATCAGCACCTCAAGATGCTCCTGACACTTCACTTGGCGCTCGTGCCTACCGTGCGGCCAATTGTGTGAACAAGCCCACGCCCGAGAGCTTGTCGAGGTCACCCAACTGATCCAGGAGGTTGGCCACGATGAGCTCA